GTACTACGTAACATCCTCCCCAAAATACAAGTCAAATACTTTATCCGGTATCAAAATTAAAGTTTGGATTCAGCTCAGGTATGGTTTACTATGTCCATCTCTGTTGTGGCATGTTCTTAATGAGTTTCCAGGGGAAATCCTCACAATATTCAAGTCTACCGTAAGCACTGACTTTAGAATGCAACTCCTCTAAAGGACATACCTCCACTTTCAATGACTGAGATGTTAAGCAATCTCAAAGGCCTCAGCTCAGTAAATGCTGGATTTGCAAGGAAGCTTTGTTTTTTGTTTTTACATCAGTTTCCTTTTACCTTTCCTTTTTAGCAACTTATCAGTCAGCCACATTTAAAAAATTAAAATTACTAGACTCTGTCATACTGTTCTTATTGCCCCTAATAATAACCTCGTCTCTGTCCACCCTGCTAGTAGCTGGAGTCACAGTTAGATTATTGGAAAAGTACTCCAAACACACTTTTGACATTTACTTTATGACTGAGAGGAGTGATTTGGTATTTGACTCAGGTTGCTTAAGCACATTTGTCTCTTAGTGAGTGAAAACAGTACAGGACAAATTGAACTGCAAATAGTAAGGTATCATACATAGACTGAATCTGTATGATAGCATTAGAGTGGAGGCTTGATGTAGGAAAAGATAGCAGAATATTGGAATGAAAAAGACAAATGATTCACTTTTTTGTTTTTATAGTCCCAGGCCCAGCAACAGGGGACAGGCATACTGTTAGGAGTTTTGAATCTTCTTGCAGTTAGAAACAAGAATACAAATCTGAATTTGTTGGGCCATAAGAACATGCAGGACAGTTTGGGATGACTTTTAAAAACTAGTGAGATTTTCAACACACATACGTATATATAGAACTCTAGAACGACCTGACAATTTGCAGGGGACTTTCTGGAGAAATTCAAGGCACTGGCATTTGGTCCAGAGTACATTGGGCTGTATAAATGCTGGAAATCATGACGCAAGTCTCTGTAAGTATTTTTTTCTTTTCTTACAGTTCTAAACTGTTTCTTTAGCTACCTTCACAGGGCCTATTTTTGTCTGAGAAAACTAATTTAAACAAACTAACTAAAGTGAACGGATTATTCCAACAGAAAAGGGAAAGTTTAAAAAAACTGTTTTTCATTAGAGCTTTGTTTACAAAAGCACATAATTAGTGGAAGTCCCCTTCGCCCCAGCACATCTACTTATCACGAGAATGGTTTTGAAGCGATCTTTATGATTAAATAAACATTTAAAATAGTGGTGGCATACTTTTTGTTAATAGTTTATTTACAAAAGTTTGAATACTTGTGCGCACCGACCTATGAGACTGAAGAAAGCCAACTGCGATAGAGACATACTGTTCAGCATGCCTGTCATTTGGTGCTTAACATAGACATTCCAGGGTACTTCCTCTCCTGTGGAGGACATTGGCGAATTCCAAGCAGGAAATCAGATTGGGTAAAAAGTTGGGGCCAGCTCTCTGACCCTCTGTCTCCTGGTCTGTAAAATGGAGAGATGAGGCTGCATGAGCTTGCAAGTCCTCCCAACCCCCTGCATAACCGTCACCGTTTGCTTGGGGGCCACGGCTATTGAATGTGATGGGAAAGCGCTCCTACGTAGGTTACCTTATACAGCAGGAGGGATTTTGCAGAGCACATGTAATTAAGGCTCCTGATCCATTACCTTTGGAGTCATCAGAAAGAGGGTTGTTCTGGGGGAGCCTGACCCCATTAGGTCAGCCCTTAAACAGAACTGGGCCCTTTCTGAAAGAAATTTCAAGTGGGATCAGCCATGTTGTGAACTGATGATGAAAGAGTCCACAGAGCAAGGACCTGGAAGTGCCCTTTAGGAGCTGAGAGCCATCCCTGGCTAATAGCCAGCAAGCAGTTTAGGACCTCAGTCTAATGGCCACAAGAAAAGAAATTCAGCCAGCAACCAGAGGGCACTTGGCAATGGACAGTGGATCTTCATCCACTTGAGGCTTCAGAGAGGATGCCGATGGCTGACAGCTTCATTTTAGTCTTGTGTGACCTTGGGCAGAGAATCCAGGCATGTTGTTCAGGGTCAACCCACACAAATTGTAATTTGTGTTCAGGCACTAAATGTGCAGTAGTTTGTTACAAGGCAATAAAAAAACTTATGTGCTCTGATTTTAGTAAATACCATATTTTGCCGTGTAAAAGGTGTGCTTTTTTTTTTTGCCCACACTTTTGAGGGCAAAATAAGGATGTGCGTTATCCATGGGTATGATTACATACCACAGGTATAATAATGGGTCCCATGTATAATACACCCAAAAACATGGGTGTGCATTATACATTGCAAAGTATGGTACATACTTCGTTGAAGTCACTAGACTTATGACCGAGACAACTAGGAACAACACACCCTACTAGATCCCCTTCTATGGTGATGAATAAACTTCAAAGAAGGTTGATGCTGTGCTCCAAATTCCCCATCAAAGAAAACAGTAAATTAACTCATATGTTTCAAAACTTTGTCAAACTAAGGTCTATTTGTAGCTTAGAATACCAAGAAACTTATTTTTCTAGCCAAAGGTCTTGAGTGAATGTTGTGTTTTGTCACCTCCACATCTCCTCAGAGTTAGGGGTGTCAACCCCTCACACAGTTGAAAATTTGTGTATAATTTTCACTCCTTCAGAACTTAGCTACTAATAATAGCCTAGTGTTTACTGGAAGCCTTGCAGATAACATAGTTAATTAACACATATTTTGTGTTATATATATTATATACTATACTGTTACAATAAAGCAAGCTAGAGAAAAGAAAATCATGAGGAACAAAAAAATATATTTTACAGCCCTGGCTGATGTGGCTCACTGGTTTGAGTGATAACCTGAGAACTGAGGAGTCACTGGTTCGATTCCCAGTCAGGGCACATGCCTGGCTTGTGGGCTAGGTTCCTGTGTGGGGACATGTGATGGATGTATTTCTCAGATATTGATGTTTCTCCCCCTTTCTCCCTCCCTCCCCTCTCTTTAAAAATATATAAAGTCTTAAAAATATATTATTTGTTGAAAAAAATCCATGTATAACTGGACCTGTGCAGTTGATACTCGTGTTGTTCCAGGGTCAACAATAGTCTGTCTTCTTTTTTCTTCTGCTGTTTAGTGAAGGTAAAGCCTTTAGGCCTGTCCTTTCAACACTTCAACCTATTAGTCAGACGTGGCAGCTCTGGATAGTTGTAACAGACAAGTATTGGATTTGCAAACCTAGTTCGACTCTGCTTTGAAACCAACTGGCCACATGACCTTGGGAAAGAGAATTACTTCTCAGGCCCTTGAGAAATTTCTTATGTATAAAACACATCTTATGACATATTCCCAGAATTTTCAGGACAAAGGAGCGTGCACTGGTAGCTTCAAGGACACTCAAACTCTCCCTCTAGAAATACTTCAAAATGTGCACATATCTTGCTCCTATGGGTCAGGGAGCTGTTCCTCTGTATTCTTGCCGGTTGAACCAATAGTGTCAAATATTTCAACACGCACAAGAGATCAGTAAGGGATGTGATGAATAGTGTAGGGAAGGGCAGAAAATGTTTGGACATTACAGGGAGGTAATTTTATTCAATGTAAGACAAAATTATGAAGATGTGAGAGATCCTATGTGATATTTTAATTGAATTGTTAGAAACTCAAGGGGTAATGGTTACAGGTGGACTATTGCAAGATCAGTTCTGTGTATGTAGTGTTTTGAAGGGGTTGTGCTGGTACTTGAAGAAAACATCTGAAGAAAACATCTCCCTCAGACTGGAAGGGGTCCTCCTTCACTGGAGTCAAGGCAGCCAAGTGTCACTGGCCTAGGTGTGTCCCTTGGCCTAGGCAGCAGAATTCAGAGTGAGGTGCCAAGAAGGCAAGGTAGGAGTGCAAAGCAGGGTAATGTTTGGAGAACTGACCTTTGTCTCTGAATGAGGTGGGATGTTCGGGGAGATGAAGCGAAGGGAGAAAAGCTCTAGAAAGGCAGGCCGGAAGGAGGTGGAGACATCAGCAGAGCCAGGCCAACCTCTCCATGCTTTAAATGCGTTCTTTTCTGTCGACCTCACATCAGTCGCTAGATGTGGTACTATGATTAGCAGACTCACTTGGGAACAAGGAAACTGAGGCCCAAAGAGGTCAATTCGTGTTCCCAAGTCACACAGAGAGCAAGTGGCAGGCAGTCTTACTTCAGAGGCTTCCCTGCTAACCACCATTGCCTCACTTGGAACAAATGGGAGGATTTCCATTCTGCCCTCTCGGGCCAGGGAGGAGAGGGCAGCCCTATGCCAATGGGGTCCCATGTTGTGACATCAGGACACCTTGAGCTGCTGGTGAAAATCAGGAGGAGAAAGAGCTGCAGACTGTGGTCAAGTAACCAGAGCTTTCCTAGCTCTTCTGTTTCCTAGAAAACCATCTTTTGGGAAAGGAGACCACACCCGCCACAAAGACGTGGTGCTTCTTGTTGGGTTGCCTTTGTCTTTGTAGCTCCATTTTTATTTGCTCCGACGATTTTGTACCTCCACCTCTTTCTCTGTTTGGAAGATAAATTGGTCCCATTTGTTCCTAAGGAGCAGTAGCTGCCCTTTGGGCCTATTCCCTCCCACTGCACCTCGCCAGCCGGGTGGTGCGGGTGCTCCGGGGCCTCCTCACAGGGGCTGCATTCCCTGACCCAGCGGCCGGGCAGGTGTGGGGGCCTGGGGGGTTGTAGGGCCGCCCTGCTGACGGGTTGCATCTTGGAGCCCGCAGCCGTGACAGTCCAATGCTAAGTCTGAAGAAAACACAGCTTCAGGGAACAGCAGCCAGACCCTGACTCAGGCCAGGAAACGGGACACACTGTGGACAGGTCACCTGCTAACATAATCGCATCTTTGGAAGCTTGCGGGGCTGTCCTTATAAAAATGCAAAGCAAGTCTAAGAGAAATTAATGTGATCCTTAAAAGGTCAAAGTGAGGCTCAACATTGGTTTTAAGACGCTTTATCAATGAGAGACCAGAGATTTTTTCCTGATGATATTTATTTCATAAATGCAATTATTTTTCTAAAACATATTAAAATAGAAAACATGTTCTTTTGATCAATTTATACAAAGAAAATACCAATATAGTAATAAAAATACTGAAAATATATGAAAAGCACCAGAACATTAGAGAAATTACACTGACAACAATTCTAGGAATATATCTTTTGCAATTGTACAATAAAGTGCTATTAAACCCAGTCAAAATTAATGGCAAGATATAAAAAGTTATGCTATTATTATGAAATTTGAGGCTAGGTTTACCAGCAATTGCATTTTTAGGCTACTTGCAGATCAAACTAATGGTATCGCATTAATGTTTTCATGCAAAATCTATTAATTTCCATCCTTAAGTGAAAACAATCTAAATCTGTATGTCGGTTCTTGGTAATTTGGTCATAAAAGCATAATGACTTGATTCAAAATAAAACAGAGTACCAAAAATAATCAAACAAATGTAATTAAATAAACTCAAAGGAAGACAGAATAAAATCAAATGTAAATATAGTAATTAATCAAGACAAGTACAAAAGTTTAGATGCCTTTGATTTTATAGTAAATTTTCAGTAATTTCATTTAGCCACATTTAACAGACACACAAATGTTAATAAGATATGTTATTAAATTCAACTGACCAGACATTAGGGAAGAACATGTTAGTAAGTCAATGTAATTTTCATATGAAACATTAAAGGGACACTGTTAGGACAATGCATTTCCAATTTTGACTAATGATTTCCTCGTTTACTGGCCAAGGAACAGAAAGCATACATTCTGGGATTAGATTTGATTAAAGCCAGGAATCTAACATATAAGGGAAAACCGCTGTGCGCAAACACAGAGGGTTACTATGGATAGTACTTAGGGCGGACTGCAGTCACTTTCACGGCTGGAGATGGCAAACTGAAACAGAAAAACCCAAATTAAGACAAAGTAGCAGACCAGTGTCCTTTTAAGGTTTGATTTTGTAGGCCAGTTTTGAAGGGACTCTTATATGGTTCCTCATAACTCAGTTTTGGGATCATCCACCTCTCCAGATTCAAGCCACCAACACTACACTGCAGAATCAAAGAAAATCTCCAAACATGGCTCAATTGAAATTCAAAATTTATTTTACAGGAAGACTATTTTTTCTTTCATGTACAACAGGTTTATGCCTGAACCCAGATGGACTGAAACCGGTTATGTAAATGAGAACCAACTAGTTCAGTAGCCTCTGCTCCTGGCAAGGTGTTTCTTTTTAGGGGTTCGGGGACCCTCCTGGGTATTACTGTTAAAAGCGCAGAGCATCAGGCAAGTCACTGAACCCTGGTATGAAGGTTTTACAACTGATCACGAGTTGTTTCTCACTCTTAAATGGAGAACTGACACTTGAGTTTTGATTTTTCTTTTTCTCCATCCTTCTAGATACTCCAGTCTTTGTCAAGTTCCCTTTTCATAGCTGACTTTAACAAGGAACCAAAATGTAAACGAATTCTACTGCTATGAATCTCAAAAACTAACTTTTCCAAAACTTATCTAATTCCTTTCATTTAAGAAAACAGGGCAAAGACAGTGCGATACGGGATGATCAGGCCTTTAAATAAATGAAGCGAACAGGTCAGGGGCCAGGCACAGTGAGCGACATGAAACAGCGTAACAAAGGCTGAAAAGTGCGACCAGAGAGATTTTCCCCCTGGACATCACTAACAGAATTCAAAGAAAATGCAACCGAACTTAGTTTTTCAAATTCGACCTAAATGAGAGTGCTCATAAAAAAGTCCAAGGTTAATACAAGACAGGCTGTTAAGGAAGACGTAAGAAACAAAAGTGAAAGGTTGTTTGGCATTAAATAGTTTTACATTCCGAAAAATTATTGACTAGCATCTGGAAGTAGTTCTCAAAATTACAAAGTCATGATTACAGAAATTACTCTGCATGTTTTCCCCCAATATACATGTCCTATATACACAGTATAGAAAAGCTAGTAAGTCGGCTCAGCTGCTATAATCACATCATAAAAAAGCAGGTTACATTTGTTTGGCTGCAACAATGCATGTTATACTTTTCAGTTCTGCTTATATATATACACGATAAAACTTACGCTTTGGAAGTATTCAAATCAAAAGAAAAAAATAAGTTATATCGAACCTATTAATTTATACAATGGATAGGCCTTTACTTATTTTACTAACTAGCTACTCTTATCAATTTCTTCAGTGTTTCTTTTTTTTTAACAGTTTATTTTCAAGACGTGTATCTGTTCCCCTCTAAAATGCTGCACATTTCCTTTAGGAAGCACAGATATGTGACGCTGTTAGTAGCACGGTGAGGTTCTGGGTCTTACTTTTTCCAACTAATGGATGAAAGAGCCAAGTTTCCTACCGAGCACCACTTCTTTAACTGTACGACAAATAGAAGAAAGAGATGACAAAAGCAAGCGAGAGCACTGTTAAGGAAAGCAGCAGCTGCTGGAACCAGATACAACGCTGAACTTGGTCTTCAAGCTTCCTATTGCTTTCTAGTAAACGATTGAGCTAAACAGGGAGAAAAGGATGAAAGATTTTTATCAATCAACTGCACATTAATCATGTGAATGACAAACAGGAATATGAGAAACCCACACACTTCTAGGATGGGGTCCATCTACTCTGAAGGCTGGTGGCAGGAAATGCAATGAGGAATTAGATTCGTCTGGTGAACAGATGTGCATCTGCTGACTTTCATTTTGAAAAGATCTAATTTTTAGTTGAGAAAAGGAGCAAAGCAATCACTTCCTGGAAGTATCGAATCAGCTACTCAGAGGAGAGCCTTCCACCCTCTGCCTTTTTTGAATTTAAATGCACTACACAGTACCTTTTTCATGAGGTCAAATTTTTTTATTACTACCCAAAGCACCATGCCACTGTGCGATATGGTTCCTAGTTCAAATTAACATGGCCAGGGGTTTTTGAAAAGTTAGTAGATCTCCAAGAGTGACTCGCAGCTTACCATCTCTGATTTGGCTTCCCTTCGCAAAGAAGAGAGCATTTATGTTCTGGATATGCCAGAGGTTCTTATGTCAGTGGGAAAAATGGATTTCTAATGTTAATTAGCGTTAACAACACTGTATCTGGAAGAACGAGCACTTACTTGTAGACACATATCTTCACTGGCTTTATCTGACATGTTTAAAGCACCGTCTTTTAATGTAAGAGTCGTTGGTTTACTGCTCTCAACAATATGGCATCTTAACCTATGAAAATCCAAAGGAAACATAACTTTTTAAGTTTTAATTAAAAAAAAGTAAAATATAGAATGGAAAAAAAAACCTCATGAGAAGTGTATGTAACAAAAGTGAAAATATTCATTCTTCTTCCCAGATTCACCTAAGGTAGCAGCTCAATATTTTTATCTTTGAAGGGGACAGAATTTACCACCCTAAAAATATGTGTGTGTGTGTTTTTAAAGAAACAGGCACTGGAAAAGCTCTGAAAACCAAGAAGTTACCCTTTTGTAAGAGTTACTTATAAGGGAAATCTCCATTTTTAAAAAATTATTTATTTATTTTTAGAGAGGGGGAAGGGAAGGAGAAAGAGAAAGAGAGAAACATCAATGTGTGGCTGACCTAAATCTACATAACAGCCTTATAACCCTTGTTTACTACGCTTTCCTTGATAACCTCCCATAACTGGCTCCTTTACCCTGACACCTCTTTTATCTTCAGCTGGAGATGGTATTTGAGGTGGGAACTTGGGCCTTCTGGGGGGGGGCTTTACTGTTCTTTTGGGCCCCTCCCATGTATACAAGAAGGTATACATGTTATTAAACTTCGGTTTTTCTCCTGTTATCCGTCTTTGAGAGGCAGGGAGGAGGCTCAGCCAAGAACCTAGAAGGGTAAAGCAAAATTATTTTTCCTTCCCTACAGCTTGGTGGTCTACTATGGGACCTGCTGAGACACTATACTCGCTTTGGAGCCTGCAGGCTGGATCCTGGAAAACTGGCAGAAGCCGGTGAAGGGGTAAGAATTCTTACCAAAGCCAGCTCTCCCAGATGTCACTCTAGTGTCAGGCTGAGAGGGTACGGTCCTTGTCCCCTGCTTTCTAATTTAGATTCGAAAGAGAACTCTTTGGGTGAACTAGTTCCTTGGGTTTAGTGATTTCGGTAGAGATTTTTGTTGAGTACTCTTGTTTTCTATTGATCCATTTTGCTCTCAGAGAGAGATGGTCACTGTTTTCTTTTCATTTGTCGTGAGAACAAGAACCATAGGCACACTGACGTTTTCCTTTCGTCTAGTCCCATGTCCTAAGAGCTTGGTTTTGGGACCACTGAGAATCTTTTCTCTGGAAAGATGCATGCAGCTGGCAACCAGCTGAATAGCTTGGAGATCTGAGACATACAGTGACAAGCAGCTTTCTTTTTGTCTGATTGTGCCAGCTCCCATGAGAGTTTGCCATAAGAGGTCCCAGTCCATAAGGGGCCTTTGTTGTTTCAACCTTCCTTGTCTTGTAAGTGCTGGAAAGGTCCCAAGCCAGTAAGCGCCTGTCTGGTGTCAGATTAGCGTGTCTGTGACTGGAGGCACCTCACATTCTCGTGGGAAACCAGAGACAAGTTTGCACTAGACCATTTTTACTGCCTGCGACAATGCACGTTTACTTTCTCATGCTAACTTTTGGAGACAGCTTGTGAGGACTGCATTTTTTGAATCCTCTTTTGGGATACCTCTTGCATCCATGTTTAAGCCAGAAAAAGGCTTATTAGTTTGAGCTGTTGTTGAGATTAATGTAAGATCCTATTCATCAATGGCCAGGTGAGAGACGCTTTGATTTGAAAAAGCTTCTATGTTTGAAAAAAATTTTTAGAGTGTTCTCATCCTCAACAATTGTCTTCTTGGTGCCTACGGAAAGACCAAGCTGAAGGGAGGACACGAATGAATATGGTGAAGTCCCTAGCCTTAGGGACTTCCTTAGGAGATGAAATTACAAGGCTCTTTCCACCTCAACTTTCACAAGGTGTCTACCAAATTTAAAGAAGAGTTAAAAAATCAGTGGTCATGCAGTCCCTACTCACAGGGACCTTGATTGGCTGCTGAGTCCTATTCTTCCCACCCGTGATTATACTGTAGCAGGCAGGATCTGGGCTTTGACACATCCAGATTCTTGCACTGGCCAGAAAGCAACTGTCTGCTGGTAGCAACCACCTTGAGAAACTGCAGGTCTCATTCACGTGGGCACTCCCACAGCCTCACAGAACTTGGCCCACACTGCATGCCTCGGTGTCTGCCAAACCCTGGAAGGAAGGTATGCCTGCCTAGCCCATGTAGGCGCATTCCTCTCTGATTTCTTCCCACCACACTGGAACGGAACGCCTGTGAGGAAGAACCATACCTGTGCTCCATCACTTTGTTTCTGGGGACTTCTTTCCAGAACTGAGTCAATTCTGCTGGGCCCGTGCCAGATGGCTGTTCCATTTCTGCAGCCATTATCAGAAACCGGTCTTGGGCAGAGACTGTTAAACCTGCATCCCAAAAGGGCAGCTGATTATAAAAAGGTTTACATATGCGGCTTAAAAGCATTATTCCAGAAAGAAATTAAGGAAAAAATAAGGATGTGGAACTACCTTAAAAGAAAAAAAAGTTCTAGAAATGAGAACTTGCTTTTTGAATTTCGATTTCAACTGGCATCAGTTTAAACAATCTTACTCGTTCAAAAACAATAAAAAATTACTTAATGCTGGGAAGGACTTCAGAGAGCCATTTGCCTCTCTCATTTTACACGTGGGAAGAGAGATGCCTGCAGCGCTGGGGCTGTCACGTGGCAGCTTACCCCCGTGGGGAGAAACGACTATATCAACCGATGCACCCGGGTCACAGCTGCTGTTGCTAGGCTTGACTCTGTATTTTTCTGGAGCAGTTGTTCTCACCTGTTTATAAACACAGCAGTCACATAATAACCTTTATGCTTTTTGGGGGAAATGGCTTAAAAAAGGGCTTTGAACAAAATCAGCAATTAATACCAACCCAATTTACAAAATAAGCTTTGGTGATTATGCATAGAACGTATCTTTCCGTGCCACTAGGAGAAAGGCATCTTAAGCTATTTAAAAAATATTTACTTATCTTTTAAGTCCAATGGTCACTTAGCCTTCCTCTTAAATAAAATAATTACTCTGTCAAATATTTATCATCTGCTAATCACCTGAATTGAATAACACGAATTCAAAAAACTGTACATGGTACAATAGTGTTCGGAAATTTAAAAAACAGCAGATAATCAAAGGACATCCAGACATCCTAGTGGTTACATTTAAATTCTATAGATGAATTAAGTAGTAATGCCTACAATGTACGGTGGTGGCAGACTCAGTCTTGTTACAAGTAATGCTCAGTATGAGGTCAGCATCCAGTATGAACTAGTGCTCCTGAATATACTACACTTGGAAGAAAATGCACATTTGATTTTATAGTTTTATTTTTCACTGTTATTAAGAATTATTCATATAATGAAGAGTGATTTTTCTTGGGTTTTTTATTTACAACAAACGTTAAACCCTGGGATTAATTTGTGCATTAGCCTATTGCTGCAAATAAAATATCAAAATACGGATCCCAGGAAAAATTTCAGATAAGCTATGCCATATGGTTAGAACTAGAAGGCAATATAACATGCCTAAAAAGATTATAAATAAATCCATTGTGCAAGTTCAAAGTTATCAACCTTTCAAGTAAAATGTCTAAAATCACTTCCCATGTCAAATTTTCACACATAATTAAATCCATCTTTCAGAAATTTACCTTAAATGCCACTATGTTTTTAGTTACATTTGTCAACACTATTAAAGTTTTCTTCTCTCCAGATTCTGCACTTCCAAAATACAGTTCTTCCGCTGGGCTAAGTGATGACAAAAACATAAAGCCTTTGTGTTACTCAGAATACATGACAATCTAATCTAGCTTGAAGAAAAACGTTTGGTTAATATTTTATGCACATTTGTATAAAGAAGCTTTATCAAAAAAAGACAAGATTACAAAAATAATTACCTAACATTTTGTATTTTAATTTTACTGATTCAATGCATGGTGTTTAAAAAGTCCTATGTTTTTCCCAAGATCAAAAGCAAAATAGGAAGGAACAGAGAGAGGGAATTAGGAAGATTATGAATTAGTCCCATAATCAGCTCCAACTTAAGATGCATTTACTTAAACTCTTTAGAAGGTTATAGATAATAATGATAGCAAAGATGGAATTGCTGCTTCAACTTCATCTAATTACAAACAGATTAGAGTGGGGCATATTTTATATACCAACAGAGAAGAGCATAACTTAAAAAGATCATTAGAGATGTATTCAAGTAACAGAATCATTTCTTACTAACACAGGCTTTTTCTGTGTAATAGGGAGGAAGAAAAATAAACCAATAAAATCTGGGGTGAGAAATGCAGGAAGAACTTGTCAAACAGTAAAATCAGAGAGCCTCAAAATGCAAATTTCACTATTCTTGACCACTGTAATGCCCATGACCTAAAATGACAACAAAAAGATTTCAGCAAAGTTTGTATAGTTTAGTTACATTGACCAAATTGAATGAGGTGGCTCCAAACAATGGAAAGAGTGTTTTTGTTTTAGATAAAAAGGTGAATTTGTGATAGAGCTCTGGAATGTGCTCTTATCAGAGATGTTTATTCATCTAGAGAACACACACTTTCAAGGAAGCGCTCTCCCAGCAGGTATTTGCCCAGCTTTGGACACGTCAGTAAATGAACAGGGTTGCTGCTTTCCTTCTCAGACTCTATCTGAAATGTGCTACAGAAAAGACAATCTGGTTTTGGATCTCAGAACTGCTCTCAGCAACAAGCACAGTATTTGTGAGAAGCGCCAGGGAGGCAGACCCAGGTTGGGTCCTTGGGTGTGTGTAGGAAGGAGCCGGTGCCTTGCCCTGGGCAGAGGCGGAGGAGGGCGGAGCCTCAAGTTCCACTTTGGCTTTTTCCCTACCAAACTCTTCTGGCCATGCCTTGATATTCATAAACCAGGACCTATGTTTTTGACAGGCCTCTAGTGAAAAAAACAGAGGCGTAAATTCCAAACCAGTTAAGGGAAAAATGGGAAACAAACTCCAAAGAGGGAAAATGGCTAAGAAAAACCATGGAAAACAGAATATGCATGTGCATTCCTGTTTCCCTCTCTCCCTCTCTCTCACAGGCACAGACATCACAAACCCAAATATATTAGTAGTCAAAACATGTGTAATCACACTAATCTTGTCCATTAGAGAATCTCAGATTCAGTTTTTAAAACTCTGGCTGTATTGTTCATAAGAGACATACCTGAAACAGTTTCAGAGAAGGTTTCAAGTAAAGGCATAGGAAGTGATATATTAGGTTATCATTAAAGAAAGATGGTATAGCAATACTAATATAAGGCTAAATAGATTTACCAACCAAAAGCATCATTAGTGAGAAAGAGGTCTTTATATCATGTTAAAGAAACAATCCTGAATCCTTTGGATTGTATAACCTAGAATCAAAAACAAGAGATGGGCTGAAATTTGGCTCCAGTAAAAAACCATTTTTCTGCTTCAGCTTTAGTTTTTGGGGGGTCAAACTGATAAATACCTACATTTCCATGTTGTGTCTGGCATCTTTGGACTTGTGCAAGTCTAACAGTATCAGTAAAATGAGAAAAATACAAGCCATTCAGATTTCCTGTTAATATATGAATATTCACTTTTATTACCTGATATGATAGGATGGCCTTTTAAACACATTCAACAGAATAAATAACGAAAAGGTAGCTAAAAGTATCCACGATGCCTGGAAACCAAGGTGTGTCTTCAGATAACCCTTAATTTTGTATTTCCCCAGTTTCAGAAACAGTATAGAAGTTTTCTTACTTTGTAGTTCCCTCAAGATGATCAAAATATATTATGAAAGCATAGCTAATAAAATCTCCCACTATTACCTGATGTGTAATAAGGGCCCTTTAAACACACTCAATGGTTTCTTGAAAGCCTTTATCTTGGAATCAGCTTTTTCACTTTCTTCTCCTTTGGAAGTAGGTTCAGATAGGTTTATCTAAAGACAAAGAAAATTATGAAGATAGAAAAGATAAAGAAATTTAGTTTCATGCTTGACAGTTGGACAGGTCATTAGGTCAAAAGTAAGCATTATATTGATTCAATCCAAATTATAATCTTTAACATAGCTTTATTATATCGAAATCGTATATTTAATATATGAACATTACATTAACATATAATTCAGTGCCTAATATAAATGTCATTGTGGAAAATATAACATGGTCCTTCCCTTAAGAGTCTTTCAGTTTGTCCTAAATTATAAGGTATTTATCAAGCCTCTGATTACAAGATGGCAACTAACTGCTTTTTAAATATGAAACAAAGAGAGGAAGCAGATGGAGGTAGTTTTAATGACTTTTATTTCAGATAAATAAAAATATTTTAGAAAAAAACAATTTCTTCCAGGTGCATTTTGCCAATTTTTATACAAAAGTATGGAAGCAGCCCGTCCGATCCTCCTTTCTTTTTACGTACAAAGATGTAGAAGGACAGAAAGTCAAGTAAATTACCCAAAATCACATAACAAGCTATTAGAATTGGGAGGCTAGGCCACAGTTTTTGACTCAATTTCATTTTATTCTTAAAATTACCTTTTTCAGAAGTGCTGTTTGTTCTTCATTGGAAATTGTTTCCAAGGTCTCTTTGCCGTCACTTTCTATATCTTCTTTACTTGAAGCTTCATCCTCACTGGCAATAGGCCCATTTTCACACAATGGTGTCTGAAAGTCATCATCTACTAGTGGTGGATAGCTATACTTGAAAGGATCCTAGAAGAAAAGAATTTAGGATCAGTCTGCTAAAAGGTGGGCAGCACAATAATTGTCTCAGCAAAATTGAAATCCATTCCTTTGGCCAAGGAAACAGACTGAATTAGACAGCAAGATTTAAAACAAACCAGAAAGGGACAAAGTCATCAGTGGTGTGGGACAACCGGCCAGCCATCTGTCAAACAACCCAGCCGGATCTTTAGCTCACGCTTTACACCAAAAAGAATTTCAGATGGATGAAAGCTTTCAGTGTGCCTGCAAGTGTGTATTTATTTTTTTAAAACTATATGCACTCCAGAACAACACATAGGAGGATTAAAAAGAAACCTAAGCAGGGATAGCCTTTCTAAGCATAGCACAAAACCTAGAAGGCGTGCAAATATTGATAAAAATTTGGGCACACAAATATTTTTTCTAAAAAGGCCACAGACTGGGAAATGACGCACCACACATATCAGAAACAAAAGGCAGCTTTTGTTAATATACACAAATCAATAAGAATAATGCAACAGAACAAGGAATAAAGCAATGATACAGTTCATTGAAACAGAATGAAGACTGCCTTTTAAATCATTAAAGCATGCTCAGTATCGCTTACAATAAAAGAAATGCAAATTAAAACTATAATGAAATTATTTTTCACCTGAGACTGGCAAAAATGAGAATACACAGTGTTGGCAAGAATATGGTTCCAGCATTCTCACACATTACTGGTAAATGGACATAGTCTCTTTAAGAGGGAAATTGGCAAGAGTTACCAAAATTAAGCACTAAATATACCCACTGACCTAATGATTTTATTTCTAGACATATTCTGGTGCACCCGTGTACCAAGGGTTATTTACAAGGATAATTACTGCAGCACTATTAGTAACAGCAAAAGATTAGAGAATAAGTAATGCACCTTCAAAAGAGAACTGATTAAATAAGTTATGTTATATCCACACAATGGAATGTCCTGCAATGGCTTAATGAATCAGGCAGATCTCTGTGAATCAATATGGGATAAACTAAAAATAACCAATGTAAAACAACACAGCAGGATATATATATGCTATGTGACCACTGTGTAAAATAGTACAATGGAAGGATATCTCCAGAAGGAGCGAGAACGTGGAAACAGTGCAGCCTCTGGGCAGCAGCGGCGGGCAGGCACCTGGAGAGCGAGATGCGCTCTTCACTGCACTGTTACACTTCTCAGTCTTTGGTACTGTTTGCTGTTTTAAAAAATCATGTGTACGTATTACTTTTTGAAAACAAAAAGAAAAAATCTGTGGAAAAATAGTAGTCCTAACTACAATTTTGACTACAATCCTGAAGAAATATACTGCTTATATCAGAGATGGGAAATAAGATGTTTTATACCTCTAAAAATAAATATAAATTTTACTAAATGCTATCAATTTTAAGATATAACAATTATATGGGAAAACTATAAAAATGGCCAGCCAATCAAATCACCATTTTAACTAAGGGTGGTACTTGAAATGAGCCATACACTGGTTTTTTGAGGTTAAAATATGAAATATAAAGTTTCAGAATAGGAAAGCAGCAAACTTCAAATTAAAAAAAAATTTGTTGAAGTTTTTTCTTAATCAAAGATAACAAAGGACATACCAAAACTTTTCATCTTGCTATCCCCTTGGTTCTGGTTGAATACAATTTTGCCAGGAAGGCAATAAACAAAGTAGATTATAAAAATCAAATAAAAATACTATCAGTCAAGCTAACCCAAAGCATACCAATTCTATAGGTTTCACAATTTATAAAGTCATTATCACAATATGTTTCATTGTTATACAGTATTAAGAATTTAACACATACCTACTTATTCCTGGTCTCTTGTTTTTAAGTAGTAAAATTACTTCTAAAACTCTTGATCGTATATATAACCTTTTAAATTAAAAAAAGATTGTCCAATAGCAAACAAATTGGAAGCAAACTAAAGACACATCAAAAGGAAACTAAATACCTAATGGTTATTAATGAAATAATTTATTGTTCATCTCTAGACACTGGAATACTATGCAGCCAGCATTAAGAGTAAGGCTGCTTGTCACATTGATTTGGAATGATCTCTGAGACATGTTGTAAAGAAAAAAGCAGGATACACAATAGTGTTTAAACATACTACTTGTTAAAAAGAGATAGGGAGAAGGAAGAATTACCTATATACTATATTTGCTTATACATATATTACACGTATTTTACAGTTGCTTATATAGGCAATAGAGATCCCTGGAAGTAAATACAAGAAATGGAACTGGAGAGAGGAACAGGGTGGTTGGGATAGCAGTCGATTTCCTGAATACTTGTTTCTGAATACTTTCTTTACTGAATACTTTTCAGTTTAGAACCATTCAAAAATAGCAATCTAACAACTTGAAAACTTAAAAAATGTAACATTGCTTGCTACTTTGGGGGGGTGGGTCTGTGATCCTTTTTTGGATGTTATGACATTGCTTTCCCTTTTTCCCTGAGGAAAGAATAGAGCCTGATGTGCCATGACCCAGTCTTATTTTAGAAACAAGTTTCAAGTAGTGTACTTACAGTTCCACCCATGTGGGGAGGCAGGTATTCTACACTGACATAGTCTTGGACTTCGTTTTTACTTGTAAACTTCAACAAACTCACTGCTTCTGGACCAAGCCAGGATTTCACAATTTTGAAAGCAGCTAAAGAAAAAACAGTCACTTTATTAAATTCTTTTCATTCTTTCTCAATTAATTTACTGTTGATACTAACCCAGGTCTTCAGTTTGGGCTAAAATTTGTTAATATGGTTTTGACTTGAACTTCTTTAATGACTCATTTTGTGCATCCAGGTATATGAATTGTAAAGACTTTATTTCATTCTGAGAGCTGTCTTTTCACCTTCTTTGATGGTATTCTTTGGAGCACAAAGGTTTTAAACTTTAATGAAGTCCAAAATGTATCTATTTTTTTCTTTTGTCACTTGTGTTTTTCTTTTCCTGTCATATCTAAGAAACCACTGCTTAAACTAAGGTCACAAAGATTTACTCCAATGCTTTAAGTTTTATAGTTAACTCCTATATTTGAGTTAATTTTGTATATGATGGGAGGTCCAACTTCATTCTTTAGAATGCAAATATTCAGCTGTTCCAGTATTACTAAAAAGACTACTCTTCCTCCACTGAATTGTCTTGGCACTGTTGTCAAAAATCAAGTAACCATAAATGTTAGAGTGTCTTTGGACTCTCAGTTCTATTTTATTTACTTATGTATCTATCCTTATGTCTGTACCACAACATTGTAATTACTATAGCTTTGTAGTGAATTTTGAAATCAAGAGTGCGAGTCCTTCAATTTCATTGTTCTTTTTCAAGATTATTTTTACTACTCTGGATCCCTTGCATTTCCTTATCAATTTAAGCTTGTCAATTTATATAAAAAAACTCAGCTGGGATTCTGACATATGTAGATCAGTTCAGATAGTACTGTCATCTTAAAAATATTAGGTCTTCCAATCCCTGAGTAAGAGATGCCTGTTTACCTAAATCTTGAATACCCTTGAATGGTGTTTTGTAGTTTTCAGTGTATAGGTCTTGAACTCCTTTTAATTTTATTTCTTAGTATTTTATTCTTTGTAATGTTGTTATAAATGGAATTACTTTCTTAATTTCACTTTTGGATTATTCATTGCGAGTGTATAGAAATACAATTGATTTTGTGTATTAAGTTTGTATCCTGCCACCTTGCTGAACTCGTTCATTAGTTCTAAGGTTTTTGTGTTTGTATTTCTTAAAATTTTGCATATAGAAGATTACATCACTTGCAAATATGGTTAGTATTACTCCCTGTTAGCTGTGGGATTTTATAAATGCAGGTTTTAGAAAGATGCCTTTTATCAGGCTGAGGAAATTGTCTTCTGTGTATCGAAAAATTAACCTTTTTCAAAGAAATGTCTGGCCTTTCTCTTCAGCTGCTGAGAGATAATCTTCATGCCTGTCAGGAGTGTCTTAGTCTGTCTAGGAGCCTTGGGTCACACTGGAACAATATGACTTAGGGTGGGGGCTTTGCGTCACACCATATCAGTAGAGCTCTACACAGACTGGAGACTGAGATAAACATTGTGGTAAATCAGTATGGACTATGTAATGAAACTCAATAAAAACTGTCAACACTGTGACACTGTGGTTTGGGTGATCTTCCCTGGTTGGCAATACTCAATGGGTACTGCCACATACTGATGCTGGACAATTAACTTGCTCCACATTTGATACTTACCTGGATTCTGTTCTCTGTTTTCTTTCCTGTGGCTAATTTTAATCTGAATCCTTTCCCTGTAATGAACTGTAACTGTTGAGTAGAATAGCTTTCAGTGAGTTCTGTAAGCCATTCTAGTAAACCCGAATAAGAGTGGTTTTGGGAACCCCTTGAACTTACAGTTGGTGCCAGAAATAAGGGTAGTAGTCAAGTCTTGTGTGGACTACTGTGGTTCCCCTAACTTCACAATTGTTTCAACTATTTGTACTTTCTATTCCTAGTTCCTTGAGTATGTTTTTCATGAGGCTGTACTGAATTTTTCCAAATGCTTTTTCTGTGTCTATTGAGATGATCATGTGTTTTTTCCTTTTAGCCTGTTAATATGTTAGATAACACTGATTTTATGTTGAAATGATTTTTGCCTTCCTGAGATAAATCCCACTTGGTCATGGTGTATAATCGTTTTTATGTTGCTACATTCGGTTTGTTAGCACTTTATTGAGGGTTGGTCCATCTATACTCATAAGGGACACTGGTCTGTAGTTGTCCTGTGATGTGTGTTATTAGGGATATACTTGCTCATTAAATGAATTGGGAATTGTTTCCTCTTCTATTTTTTTGGAAAGAATTTATAAAGGATTGGTGTTGCTTCTTATATTTGGTAGAATTTCCTAGTGAAGCCATTTGGTTCTTGGGTTTTCTTTGTGAGAAGTTTTTTGATTACTAGCGGTTTTCAGCAGTTTAAAATTTTTTTTATCAAAAAAAGTACACAGTCAAACCTTGGTTCTTGAACGTCTCCCATTTCAATTCGGTTCGTGACCAAATTGTTCATGGAAAAAATGTCTCGGTTATCAAACAAAACCTCAGTTCTCGACCTCACAACCCTTTCATGTTGATACAGTATTTCTAATGGGAAAAAATGATCCAGTTTTCAAACAAATCGCTTCTTGAACAGCCTTCTGGAATGAATGAAGTTCAAGAACTGAGATTGCGCTTATTATAACTGTCGTAAGAGCTACGCGACTACAGAGATTTGAAGTAAATTTCAGATTCATCCCACTTTCCTCCTCAGCACATGAAGCTCATGAGAAAACCTAGTCAAGGCCTGTGTCCTTTGAAATACCCCATCTGTGGGTGACAAATTGAGGCTCCTGACTATAGTTTTACTTGAGTGGTTGAACCTCCTGAGGCTATTTTTAGAGAAGACCAGTGCGTGTCCCCAGAGATTGCTTAGGAACAGCCTTTGAGTGTTCCAGCTCTAGCCTCTTAAGACTACACACTGAGCACAATATAAACTTTTAAAAACTATCATTGAAATGTGGCTAAATTGGAAAAGGAAAAAGGAAATCAGTTTGTTTTAGAAAGTATAAGTAATATACTCACCATTCATTATCCAAGGCATATCAAAGATCACTATTTTTGCTGAAAAATGAAAAACATTAATTGTGATTTAGTACCACTATAGTAGTATCACTTATACCTGACATAGAAAAAATGATGATCTAAATATAAGTGAGTAGATGGAGTCTTTGGATGTGGCATGTCATATTATTGCTGAAGTCCACTGAAATTTAAAACAAGTTCAACTCTAATTTATGGTTTCAATAATAATTTTCTAGAGATTTTTAAACCACTCTTACAGTTGCCTCCACCATTTAAATCATCATGTTTTAAGACACAAAAATTATTTCCACTTTTCTTAATATTAAAAGTTCCAGAAAGCCAATAATTCCAAAGTATACAGAAGTATTATTTGCATACTTTAAAACATGATTTTGCTTGTTTACTTATAGAGAGAGGGGAGGGGAGGGAGGGAGAGAGGGAGAGAAGCATCAACACATGAGATGCAATGATTGCCTCTTGCATGACCCCAGCTGGAGACCTGGTCCACAACCCAGGCGTGTGTCCTGACTGGGAATGGAACTGGTGACCTTTAGGTTTGCTGGCTGGGGCTCAATCCACTGAGCCACACCAGCCAGGGCATTATTTGCATACTTTAATAAAGATATTACACAGCCCTATTGTGGGAAAGAACCAGAAACCACAAAGGGGATTTTTGATATCCAATTTATTCTATTTCAGGAGAATCAAAATGTAATTTCATTCTTCTCTGAGCAGAGAACTTGCTAGAATGATTATATTAATGTAGGACAGTAAAGTCATGTGGAAAAACAAGGTACCTGCCAAGAGGTACCCTGGTGCTTAATATTTCTACTTTTCAGTTTTTATCTGGGATATGTGTAAAAAGATTTGGATTCAAAATATTAAGAAATAATAGTTATATTTCATGACAGATTTTGAAGCATAATCAATTTAAGGTGCTGTAAAATTCAGTGTCTGCAAAATTACAATATATAGGTAGACTATATACATTATCTTTAATTAATTGGAATAGCATTCTAATTTGCCTTTTATTGAACCATGAATTTATTAATAGTCTTCTCAAAAAAATCTTGGATGTGTTTTATAAGGTAATATTGATAATACCATTTATGAATGGCTCTTCACAAACTCCGTAAGATGGTTCAATAAACAAGTGAATATTTTATTTCATTCTGCACACAAGAGAAACAAGCTACTACCGTGGGGTGGGGATTCCCTATTGCCCACTGACTGGCACTGCTCAGCAAGCTGTAATGAATCAGGGTACATGCCCGATCTAGGAAAAATTCAGAAGAACAGCAGATCCTACAGGTTCCCCAAACCAAACATTCTTTTTTCCTCTAAATGTTCATGAATACGCTCTCTGAAGACATAAGAGCCAACGTTTCAAAGGTGTAAGAGACAACAGTTCCGATCCATGGATCCATGATGGTTCTTGTCTGTTCCTCACTTCACGTTAATACTAATGCAAAGGCATGCTGCAGTCAGATGACTTGGGGACTTTATGCTTTAGTATCACCTGAGTCACAAGACCTAAAAGACCCTATTCATGGTATGTGTCAGGGTGTGCCCAGGGAGACCTGCGAGTTTCCATTTTCTGATGTCCCTGTTGCCTCTCTTTTGTCTTTTCACATTCAACCCACTGAGGTTAAAAATATTTGACTATTTATGTGGGAAGGCATCTTCATTTCTCTGGGGGAAAACCATCATATGAATTCAATAAATCAAAGATGAGCACGATTTAGGAGTCCTTCATTCAGGTAATGGAATAATCACAATTAAAAACAAACTTCAAATGACAGATTCAAACGTAGTACACCATAGTCAAGTGCTTTCTCAGTGACAATCTGTAAATATCAGTCAGTAACACAATGTACTGTAGGAGTATTGCTTATCACTGTCCACTTTATCAATATTGCTTATCTGTTTCTATGTAGGAAGTTCTATATAATAAATGAATTTCTCAAGTGAAATATTAGTAAAAATGAGATGATCTTGGAAATAAATGTATGTTTTTATGTTCCTATATGTGTTTATATATACATGTATGGTATAGGATGCCATATGTACACTTTAGAAGTTAACCTCTTAAAACTGAAAAAGGACAATGATTATATATGGAAAATTTCCCTGTACCTACTACAATATGTGTTTAAATTTCCATGAAGACATTTAAGCTCTTCGTCAGAAAACAATGTTTCAGCTATCAAAGACCATAATACACAATTCTCACACACTGTTTACAGTTTCTACATTTCATATTTTTATAAAGGAATAAGTTACTTACAGAGGTATTTAGGGTAATAAATCTTAAAGCAGTTGATGATAAAGCGTACAAAATCCATGTCCTTAAAAAAAAAATACATTTAAATATTTAAGACTGGTCCACATTAGAGAATTTTAAACTGTACATTTCTAAAGGTAAGAAATTATTAAATACAAATGAGACAATTATTAAATTATTTAAAAATAAGCTCTTGTTTAAATATATAGATTCCCAAGGATTAAGGTTTTAAGTCATTAAGCTACTTATAATAATCAGTCCTAAAATTGAGTTGAAAAAAACTCAGAAGCTTAAACATTATTCATTTTACCTCAAACTAGTAGATACCTCAGGCTGCTAAGGTAGCATGGCATTATAAAATGGATCTAAAAGCAATACCCATAGAGAAATTCTAAAAATCTGTTGAACAATTAAAGAATTATTGAAACAGATACACAGTTTACAACCTGACTACTTGGCATAACAATACATATATATAAATTCTGCTATATTTACTTTTTAAAGCTAATTTCTATACCTCATAATAGCTTCAGTAAAATATTTTTTATTAACCTTTTATTCAACAATTATTCTGATCATATTGGCCTGCTGTATCTATTTTACTTCTAGCTTCTTTCCTCCTACTGAGGGACCTAGAACTACAATTAGAATGTCTCAGTTTACATTCAGGTGTTGTTCGTTGACTTCAGTTTCTGGCAGGCTTTATAAACACAGCTGTCTGGTTGATTCCACTGCACTGAAAACAGCAGCATGAAATCAGGTTATCAGGGTTCTTATTCATAGGGATCATTTCATTCCATGTTATTCCATAGCCAAAGGCTGATTTACTAATCCTGATCAGCCATCTTATAAGGACTACAGGATGAAAGATGCATATGACCAGGCAAACTTAAACCCATCAATTACTAAAAGACAGGTTGTCTAGAGAGTCTATAAAGGCATTCCTAGTGTGTGAGTTGCAGGATCTTTAAATCTAGTAAACTGTAAGCAAGCATCCTTACCTGTTTTAAGTATTTATTATGGTATAAATCCTACTATGTAATACTTTCATAAACTAATCATTATAGCTACTGTGCACAGAGCTTAATAATTTGTAGTTAAGTAAGAGTCCAAGAAATATCTCAATAGCTACTTACATGTAAATTTGGTGACCTAGTATATGATCTGTGGGCCCCAGAGACTTTGTCTAAAAAGCCTTCGCCCAATATTCTTGTTTACATCTTTTATGTAATTGAATGGCATTGCTTAATGAAATCTCAAGTTCCTGTTAATTCCAGTGGATTTGATGGGATGCCCATGGTATACATATATTAGTGAGCACTACATAAAAAAGCTCCATGAAACTACTGCTCTGCATTCTCTGAGAATGTTTTCAAGGATGCTATTCATTACGTTGTAAACATACTCCTTCTGAGGACCCATGAACAGCTTTTCTCTGTAGTTTAAGTATCAGGAATGCATATATTTCTCCTAAGACACTGGTTTTAAGGTATGGCCTCTGAACAAGAGTAAATGATTTCCATTGCTTTCAGGTGGGCAGCTGAAAGCTTACAGGCAAATTAGTGGCGAACTCAAATAATTTTTAAAATTTCTTGCTTTGTACTTCTGTATACATCCTTTTAAGTCAATTTAAATCCTATGTGATTCATTAGGGTAATATATGAAAATAATTCACTAAGAGTCAATATTTTAAAACAATAATGATTTAAATAGTCATGCAAATAAATCTTATTTATAAATTAAAGATAATAACATATCTTTAGCAGCTGAAAAAAAAATCAGTTCAAGTCAATTCTTTGCCCCTGTATTTGGCAACAAAAAACATTAACATTTTATCTCTCATGATTCTGGGTTAATAATTAGAAAATTATTATACATAAAATGTAACAGAATCATGACTTATTTTTATGAAACATTATTTATACTGGCATTTTAGTTTAGATTTTGGGCATAAAATGATTTACTCTGTAATCTAAAACTCAATGAAACAGAAAGTCCATTGGAAAAAATCCAGGGAAATGAAGCCTTGAAATATAGATATATAAAGATGAAAGAAGAAAATCTGTGGTTCCACCAGCCAAAACTCATCTCTAGTTTTCTCTAGTGATTTTTCTCTAGTCTCTTTTTCTTAAATGTCTAAGGTTTCCTTTTTGGGGGCTAGGTTTCCCTATGATACAATCCTGTTCCACCAGCCAAAACTCATCTCTAGTTCTCTAGTCCAGTTATTTTTTAAATGTCTAAGGTTTCATTTTTGGGCGCTAAGTTTCACTATGATTTAAAAAAAAAAAAAAAAAAAAAGATAGTTTCTGCCCTGGCCACGTGGCTCAGTTAGTTACAACCTCGTCCAAAAGGTTGCGATTTGATTCCTGGGTTGTGGTCCCCAGTCTTAGGGCATGTGGGGGAGTTGACTGGTCAATCTTTCTCTCTCACATCTCTCTCTTTCTCTCCCTCCTCTCTCTCTCTTTCTCTCTTTCTTTCTCTCTCTCCCCCCTTCCTCTCTCTAAGATCAATAAACATATCTTCGGCTGAGAATTAAAGCCATTTTTTAAAAGAGGTATTTTCCAATATTGCTACAAATTCATTATGAACATCATTACTCATACTCCATCAGTTAGTACGCCAGAGTTTACCATTTCCCCATGCTGACATAAACATTTTTTCTAACTTTGCACTATTTTAAATCACATTGCAAAAACATTTTGGTGCCTAATGCTTTTTCTGTACTTAAGATTCTTTCTTTAGAATAGACTTTCATAAGTTAGTTACCAAAGAGGATGAATGCAAACACTTTAAGATTCTTAACATACTTTGCCAAGTGGATTTTCAAAAAGTTTTAAACACTGTCCCAGGCAGGTGCGCAAATCACTTCACTGCTACCAGAACTAGCCAGGGTTTGCAGGCAAGAGACAACAGTTCTAAGAAATGTGCTAATTGGTCCCCATCCCTGCCGAAGGGTTTGTCGTTACCACTAAGGTCACAAGGGCCCAAAATAAGGACTGGTAGGTTTTACTTATTTTTTAAGCTTGGGAAAATCACCAGGAGAAAACTGGTTTCCAAAGCTAACCATATCAAACAAAAAGCAAATCTATACAAGCAAACGAGCAACCCCAACAAAATCACCAAGTGCTGTATGTGCAAAACTCAGGGGAATATTTCGCAACTGTAAAGCACAGTATGAATCTAATGGTACAACAGAGAGCAGCTGACACTTCTTAGGTATTTATTGAGGGCGTCACGCTGTGTCAGGCACAGGTTAGATGCTGCAGGATACGAGCTTAGATAGAAAAGTTCACTGTTACCTCATCGACTCAGTACCCCACCAGCCTCCACATCCTGCCTTTATAGCTTGTGTATCAGACAAGGAACGTTTCTAGGAAACCTACAGTTTGAATGCCAAACATTGAAGCAAATTTCTGTCTTTGCAAATCCTGTTCAATGCTTGACTTCACTTCCAATGCAGGGGGAAAAATAAATCCCAGGCATAACCTGATTAGCTCAATTTTATAGCAGTATTTGGTTGGGGAGAATGGCAGGGAGGACAGGAAAGAGGAAGCACACCATGATAAACAATGACTTAGAATTGAAAAAAAAATGCTTACTATGCTACTGATTCCAGTTTCTGACAGGTCAAACATCACTGTTATAGGTTTTCCGTTTTCCCTTTTAGCATAACGTTCCAACCAGAATGCGATAAGCTTCTTTTTGTCCAATATGGTTTTATGGTCTTTTATGTGATACTTCACCCTGATCCATACTTTTAGCAGAACATAAGGTAAAAATAAGAAAAATGTTTATGGCATTATAATGTCATTTTATACATATACCATTCTTTCCCTTTTCATTTCTCCATTTATAATTCATTTTGTTTGTCAGATTAAAAACACCTTTGCCTTTTTTAAAATGAGAAATAGTGCGCACATGGGAGCCTTAAAGAGTAGCAGAAAGGAAACTATTGTTTTCCCATCTTCTAGTAAGGGGGAAAGAAAATGCAGGCGAACAAACATTTGGTAATAACCTGAGTACTCTTCAGTATGATTAACAAAAAAAGCCTTGGTTCTGTCAAGCACCAGAAAATATGTTCCTTCCAGAGGAGAAGCCCGACGGAAGCGCTACGGAGGCATGAGTGGGTGTCCTGCATGAGGGTGGACTGTGGCAAAGTGTTCAGAATGGTGGCAGCTGTGACAAAATGTGACTAATGATGACAGGAGAAACAAAATTGACAGGGCTGGGCTTGAAGGGCCCTGAATGAAATGCTACTAGGTTTTGATTTTCCTATTGGCAACATCTCAGGCAGAGGGGAGACTGGGAGAGGCAGAGAAGAAAACCAGCAGGTGAGGCCTTGGGAAGGGGCGGGGGGGGGGGGGGATAGTGAGGGACTGAACTGAGACCGTGCTGGGGAAACGGGGAGGGGCTGGCTGGCTGCAGCTCTGTCTGCGGGAAAAGCCGATGGTTCCTGGCCTAAGCTGGGCAGTACAGAGACCGAGCAGAGGCGCGGACTAAAAGCAGCCGGCCGGCAATGCATCGGATGGCACAGGCTGGCGGGCAGCTGGACAGGTACATGCATGTGGCCTGGGGATGGTGTGGGTTCACTGCCGCTTGGCGGAGGCAGGGGAAGCGGTCAGTGTAGTTGAGGTTGCCCACAGAGGCCGCATCAGTTGGAAAGTAAGAGGCCAAGAAAGGAACGAAGCCAGGAAAGCACATTTAAGGGACAGGTGGAAGGAGAGAAGTGAGAACACCGAGAAGGGGGAGCCAGATAGGAGGAAAATGCAAAGAGCTCTGTTCAGACAGGCGCAGACCACGCGTCACGGAGGGTGGATAAGTTGCCCTGACTCTGCTTGGGATGGGACTCTGACACTCCCGCCGAGTGGTGGCCTTGGTACAAAACCAAGCTGGATTTTGGGCCAGGGGGAGAGAAGATTCGTCAGGACAGCAGGGATGAGCGTTACCATTTCTCCTGCTATAATACGGACTGAGGAAGAAGCTAAGGGAAGCAGACTAACTAGGAAACTTGAAAAAAGTCTGTTTATCAACTACTAGGGACTGGCGAAAAGGTTTTTTGTAAAAATAAAGGGTTGAATTTTAATATCAAATTACAAAGAAGGTAATGACCCTGAATGCTACTGTTTTGGCTGTGTTAGCAGATGTAGTATTTGCCTTTGTGTCTGTTTTATTATATTGCAAACAGTAGTATAACTACTAATATCTGACGCTAAGTCAAGATGGCCCTAACAATCCTGTTATAGGAAACTTGCTGTCTGGTACATACGGAGAAAGTGCTGCTTATTACTTATTCTGTTGAGATACATAAGAACATCGCAAAATCATGAAAAGCCAGTAGTATGGAAGTTAAATATACTTACACAACTTGTTGCCTTCTTTGTCATAACCATGGAGATAAATACCTCCAATTTCCAATAACCATCTTGGAATAGAGTATTCAGTCAGATCTAAAAAGTGATAAACTTTGATGAGAAATTATAACATAGGCCTTAAAAAAAAAAAGAAGTCACAATGTAAAGGTTAGTGATATAATAGTTCTGATGTAAAAAAAAAAAAAAAAGATAAAGCTTATTCAAACACCTGGATAGAATGGCAATAAAAATGGTGTTTCTCACTAGGTAAACCATATAAACGCATAGATGAGAGAAATAAAAAACATCCGTTGCCCTTTGACACGTCGCTCCATATTTATGTAGACACATCTCCATGTTCTGGTTGTTAAAGACTTGCAAACAGATACTGTCATTACTGGATAATTTCAAGAAAACATGCCAGTAAATATCCATATTACAGCCCCAGAATTAATGAAAAAATCACTGTGGTTTCTTTTGCAAAGTAATACATTTCTACAAAACTTGATATCCAGTAGGATTTAATACATTTTATAATCTTGGGGCAAGTGGAAAATACTTCAAAAAAATGCTAGCTCTTTTAGTAGGAGGACCAGCAAGGGCCTGTACAGTCTCTAGTGAGGCTGGTGACCAACAGAGCGAGGTAGCCAGTGCCAAGGCTTTCATTCAATTCACCGGTAGTTAGTTCCCTGAGAACTTGCAAAGATTTCGGTATCTTTCTCCACCTCCTTTTATCACCTGTCTGCTGTTTGCCACACTAGAAACAAGCAATTCTATGTAAGAAAAACTATTATTAGGTTTAAAAGTTCATTCTGCACTTATGTGATCTAGAAATAGATTAGTATTTCTTTGCTTGATTAATAAATACCTGTTTGTTGAAATGACCTACAGTTTTGACATTTCCAATCAAATTATTTCTTAAATACTCCCCTTCGGAGGGATTCCTTCTACAAGTGCAAAGACTGGGGGCAGTGTCTGCTCTGGATTTATCTGTTGACTACTTTGTATTAAGTCTCCAGACTCAGTCACTCCACAGTTTTATGACCCTCAAGATCAGGAAATCCTTCTATATACTCCAGCAAAACCAGCAGTTACAGCAGTTTCTTGTTAAATTTTCCGGAGGAGAAAGATAATGGGTAACTTTTCCTGAGAAGAGTTCTTTATATATTTGGAGACTATTATAAAACCCCTACTAAGATTTAAAATTCCAGTTTCTGGAGAAAATTTCAATCTTGAAGTAGGCCTTGAAATTAAGCAGTTAAAAGAAGGCTGCCAAAGGCATCTTTGGGGATAGGCTTGCTCTTTGGGGACCGTTGCTCATCAATTCTATACGGAATCCTGATTAGCACAAGGAACTCTGGGGAGAGAGGACGACGTAAGTCAACAACAGAGGAAAAACAGGCAAATAGTATGTCCTTGTCTCCAGGCTTGATAGTGAAGATGCTGTCTTGTTATTGTTTAATGGTACCAAACTAAACAAGCACAGATTAGGAGACTGCTGTGAGCAAAGACCCTGAGTGTGATTCTGCTCCCTGGTGATCTGATCGCCTTCCGAGGGATCCGGCTTAGACTTGGCTGTGTGACACTCTTTTCAAAGTATTATTGAGACTGTTTAAAACATTATATTCTGATGTTTGTGATGATTGCTAAGGATATTTGCAAATATACTATTAGATCAAAGTAAAAGAGTAACATTTATGCAGGAGATTGTATACTGTTCGAGGTAGACTGAACAGCTTACCGTTGACAGCCATTTCTTTCCTCCATTGAAAACTCTCATCGAGCATCTTCAATGTATCATCTACAACATCATGTCTCCAAAATAAGTAATTTTCCACCCAGTTATCATCTTGTTGTAGCCTTTCGACATCACGTGGATCATATTTATCTGGCTTTTCTAGGGAAGAAACAGTAAGAAATAACTAAGTCAGACAAATTCTTCAGTGAATAATAACAAACACTTATGTCAAAGGAGAAGACCTGGAAGACGAACACTAATGTCAAAGGGGATTTGATGACAGACACAGGGATACAGTTCAGATGAAAATGCAATTTAAGGGATTAATGAATTTCTAAGTGTGAAGAGAATAAAGTTATCTAAAGAGAGCAGATTTACTTTAAATAAGCCACCAAAGATTTAAAAAAATAAGACCATAGTAAAATATTTTGTATGACATTCTCTATAAGTATAAACCAACATCTGGGATGATCAGTTATGTTATCTGAACATGAAATCCTTACCCTAGTCAATGAAAAATGAAATTTTATACACAATGAACTATGTTGTACTTAAAAAGACCTGTCTGGCAAATGTGATTTAAAAAAAAACAAACAAAACTAAATACGAAGTGGAAAACTGACCATTATGCAGCAGTTAACATTTCCTGTAATTTATTGGAATAATTGTTTTCAATAATAATTTCTCATTATCTGATTACACACATGCTATGTTCTTCCCAACCTGTATATCTGATACTCCCCCTCCCATGCCTTCTCTCACTATTTTTCTGTAACTGAAATTTCCTTGTATCCTTACAACCACCTCTGTACAAATTCTACTGTCTGGCAAGACTCCCTTTTCCTTTCAAAGGCTTCCTCTTCCATAGAATTTTCCCAGAGCCCAAAGGTCATTCCTTCTCACCTGTGAACAGGTACAGGGCTTGAAATAAGCCTTTCTTTCTTTTTTTTGAAAGATTTTATTTACTTTTAGAGAGGGGAAGGGGAGAGAGCAAGAGAGGGAAAGAAACATCTACTGGTTGCTTCTCACAAGCCCCTCAACCTGGGACCTGGCCCGCAAGCCAGGCATGTGCCCTGACCAGGAATCAAACCGGTGACCTTTCGGTTTGCAGGCCAGCACTCAGTCCACTGAGCCACACCAGCCAGGGCAAACTAAACCCTTCTTAAGGCACTTACCACTTTCCCACTTGAATCAGAGTTACTGGCATGCATGCCCTATCTTCTCATAGAGACTGTAACAGCACTGTATCCATTCTAAGAACCAGGAAACATTTGCTGACTAAATCTATTCCTTCTCAATTTTTGTTTTCTTAGTTAATGGTACCCTCCCAGGGGCCCAAGCAAGAAATTTCAGAAAATTTTCTAGTTGCTCCATCTCCACTTTATTTTGCACCTATTCGTTGCCCAATTTCATAGATTCTATCTGCTCTCCATTTTCTCTGCCTTATTTCAGACCCTTGGAGATAATAGCTCAAAGGGCAGGAAAATACAAAGTGCATTCAGAGAATTATCTTTTTTGAGTCTCAATTTTCTTATCTTTAAGCTGCTTTTATACTCACAGAGTTGTGTGAGGATCAGATGAAAATGTATATATGAAAGTACTTGGAAGTTTAAAGCTCTATAAAATAAAAGATTAGGCCATAAATCATGCATTTGTAGAGCGTTACCGTGGAAATGGCTTTCAATATCTGGGCTCTATTTTTCTGATCTAAACAAGTGGTTCTGTAGTAAGTAGGTGAACCTTGGAAAATGTTTTTTAGCTCTGTTATTTGAAAATTCATCAGCATTCAAAACACATCTTTCCTTGAATTATAATTTATAAACATGAGTTGGCTATAAAAGAGCTGTCGCTCTTTAGCATGAAGGGGGCCCGTGGGAGGACCTGTCCCCTGAAAAACCACCACCCAGTGTGGCTGCTAGACAGCCCTCCGCACTGGACCAATACGCTCTTTTCCTTGAAATTACAGGCTGACTTTATTCATTTTCAAATTTTGGCCAAATACCTAAGTCTAAATAACCACAGCTTACTTGCCAGTTCTTTCAAATAAAAGTGACTAATTCCGCTCGCAACTCAAGCATGTAGAAGTACTTAACGCATACGTCTCGATTTTGTCACACAGAACGTTAAAAAACATGTACTCAAGGGTCGAGATTTAATAAAATGTGCTGCTTTCTGGGACTTTCTAAAATAAAACTGGCTTTTTTACAAAAATGGAGAAGGCTGATGACGAAGGCTAAAATGACCACTGGTCTGGGTTCAGGGTGAGGGGGCAGCAGCTTTGCCCCCCCCCCCACCCCCCGTGCTTCTGTGTAATCGGTACAAAGGTCAACACGACGAAAAAGGCAAATGGTCGCTTAATATTACGATGAAAACAGTTTTGAGCTCACAGCTCCTCAAAACACTACTGGGCATCCCCAAGAGTCTTCAGACTAAGCTCTGAGAATCACTTACCTGGAACAATATGTGGCAACTGGTAAATCTCTATAAATACTAGTCATAATAAGAGTAAAACATTATTGTTACTTTTATTATTGCTGCCACTGCTGCTATTACCATGGAGGATACCATAAAGAAGTCGGTGCCCGTTACTAAGAGATTTAAAGCCAACCGCTCTTGGATGGCTTGTAGGAATATAGATCTTTGAAATTAGCAATCTGATTGTAATAAAGTGATTAATTATTGTTATTAATAAAACATGTACTTACATATGAAATACCTGTTAAACATTTACCCATAGGTAGAAATGAAAACAGGAAGGAAAAGACAGAGAAGGAGGGGCTTAGGGAGGGACTCGTGCCTGCGGTGGCCGGGGGAGGGGGGAGGAAGGAGGAGGAAGGAGACCAGCAGGAGAAAAGTGGGGGCAGAAGAGGATGGAGAAGAGGGCTGAGGGGGGAGGTGGGGGAGAGAAAGAACAGAAAGGAGATGGAGCATCCAAGGTAAGGAAAACTGGGCCTGGGACCACAGGCCAAGCGTAATCATAACTGTGCTTATGATGAAAAACTTGCTGCTTTCAAACACATCCCCCAGGCAGCTGAACGCTCAAGTGCTAGCAAGTTTACGGAAAACTAGTCCTTTGGTAAGTCCAGATGTTACAGAAAAAAGCTAAAGATGTGCGCTCACCAGTTATCTGAAGACATTAAATCACATTTGCGCACACACATCGCCCCTACTACTCAGGACAACATTTTGAAAGACTTTATCTTACAATAATTAAAGCATAGAGATTAGGAAGATATTATTTTGGAGAATAGAATGAAGAAATAAAATGGAGTCACTACACTCAAGCTGCTAAATTACTAAAATCCAGTAGGTTCAGGCATGAGGAAATTATTCTTGTTTTAACTAGTCTGGGAACTTAAATGTGAACTTTCCAGCATGTCACTGCTTGGAGAACCCTCTGATTACCCTTTAAGGGACTGACGTATGTATCTAGGCCACCAGAAGTGACCAGACCTCCTGGCGCCCATCATCCAAACTGCGAACAACTGACTGGTAACTATCCAGGACCAATCCTAGGGCTAAGAATGCAAGACTAATTCTTCTCCAGGATGGGACTTTTAAGAACTCTTTTCTTTCTCTGGCTCGACTGTGTACAAGTCAACAATGGGAGTGAATGGGTGTGATCAGGTGCCTAATTAACAAAATATTCCCTTAAGGGCATCCTATTAGCTGGCCACACCTACCTACCCTGAATCTCAGAGGGAGACTGGGAAGGAGGTGGTTGGTATTTTATGGTGGGATTGAGCCACTGGCCCACAGCAGCGATTCTCAAACTTCATCAAGTATCAGAATCACAAGGAGGGCTTGTTAAAACGGGGATTATGGGGCCCCACGCTTAGAACGACAATTTATGAGTGGGATTCCAGAATCTGCATTTGTAACAAGTTCCCACAGAATGCTGCTGCTGCTTCTCCCGGTACAGGATAACACATAGAGGACCACCAGTCTATTGCAGGGGTTGGCAAACTTTTTCTGTAAAGGGCCAGATGGTAAATATATAAATATCCTGGACTTCAAAGGCCACATATGGCCTCTGTTGCTGATTCTTCCTTTTTTGTTGCTGCTTTTAGCAACCCTTTAAAAATACAAAACAAAACAAAACAAAAAACCCCAAAACATTCTTAGTTCTAGGCTTGTACACAAACAGGACTTTGCTGACTTCAGTGTAGAGAAGGAAGATGCTTTTCTGCTTCAGCTCCTATCCTTCAAGAGCTGGATATGTAAAAGATATATCTTAGATGACACATCTCTTTGCTGATCTATTCAGGTCTTCTTTCAATACTCTTTAATAACATTCTATAATTTTCTCCATCAAAGGAAAAGTTGTACATTTCTTCTGTTAGATTACTATGCAGTCTAGAGATTTTTGTGTTGCTATCACTGTTGCCAGGCCCGGGCCTGGCCTTGAGCGGGTCTGCCCAGGGCCATCTGTAGTGTGCGTGCGCGTCCTTGCCTTTGTGTAGGGAAGATGTCACAACGTGAGTGCAGGTCACTATGAAGATACATTTATTAAAGCTGGGGACGATGAAACAAGGCAGGGCTTAGCATCAAAGAAGCAACAGGAGAGCCTAGGCCGGGCTGCCTTCCCTCACTGGGAAGGCAGAGTAAAGGGGAGCCTGGGACAAGCTGCCAGCTGCCCACTGCCTTCGAGTTTAAGAGATGCCTGCCTGTGAAGAATGAAGCGGGGGAAGACAAAGGGGAAGGAAGCGGCACAGGGTGCTAGCCGGAGGGAGAGCAGGAGGGAGAGCAAGAGCGGTGTGCTGGGTCTTTTGTCTTGAGGCTTTTCTCGGAAGGGGAACCTTAGGGGAGGTCTCTGGGGAGGGTTTCAGCAGACTCTCCATCACTCCTCCAGGGGTGCCCTTTCAGGGTCATGGTCGCCACTGATTGGTCAGTGGCGGGGGGTGGGGAGGGGGGCATCTTTAGTCATTGAAGCTGGCTCTGGTGTCACCAACCTGGTTTTGCTGCATTTCTGGGCCTGGAGCTAAAGTCCAACTGATGCGTAGATGTCGTCTCCAGGGAGGAAAGGTCAGGGAAGAGGAGGTTACCCTGGGAGCAAGGTCCTTGTTTTCCCAGTTTTGCTCTCTGCCAAGCACTAGGGTGCCTTTCTGCACCCTGGGGACCTTCTGCACCTGGTTGTCAAGTGCTTGGCCACTGTGTTC